TCTGCCTATAAATAGTTTAACGGTTTCCGCCCAAGTCGGAGAACTCTGGGGATCTCACAGGAAACACCTGTGCTTGTCACCAGAGAGTTGGGGACTTGATCAATCCCCAATCAATCACCCCGTCAGCGTAAAATATTGACGTAGAAAGTCTTGCAAGCCCGACCATTCGTTCCGGTGCCACGTCCGTCATTATCCCGTTGTAACCTGACTGCGTGCATGTATTCAACTCTGTAACCGAAGCTATATGCATGTACTCAACTCTGTAACCGAGGCTGTAACGGAACAAAGGCTCGCCTGCGTCATCATCACTATCTAGGCGACGTAAGTAAACAAACTCCTGTAACCTACACGTGTCTGTGCCTGGTTAATTCCACTCCATCCATCAATTACCCGCCTGCCGAGCTCTAAATCTAAATACTCCAGTGTGAGTCAGACAGCTGCCGGCGGCTGCTCTGATTCACGACAATTGTAAGCTTAGATCTTATGTTTTTTCAAACTCTAGTAACACGAGTCCTTCGAATAACTCTCTTCTGTACTTCAAGTAATTAACTGATGTTAAAATCAGTAAAAAAAATTCTAAAGGAAAAAAGTAGTGGACCACTCTACTCTCAGTAAAACAGTAGTAACAGTTTCCTTCAAGATAATTACCTTGAATGTACACTAATCAGAATTTGCCTCTTGATCTCCTACAGCAGGGGTTAGCAACCTATGGCCTGTGAGCCAGATCCAGCCCCAGGAGCCACTGGACCTGGCCTGTGGAGCTTGGGCTTTGGCAGCATTCAGTAGTGAAGGGCCTTGGCAATGGGGTTTTGCCCTTGCTGCAGCCAGGCAGCTGGGAGCTTCACCCATGCCATATGACCACTGGGCAGCAGGGAGAAACAACAGCTGGGTCCTGGTACCAGTCCACCTCAGACCCAAGCTGGGCCATTCTGGCGTGCCACCAGGAAATGTCGCTGACCACTTTCATGCACAACTGAAGCTAGTTGTGTGAACCTTCCCCGCCCCCCCCCTTTTTTTTTAAACATAATGAGGTCGGTGTTTTGTTGAAACAGAGATGCAAGTATCTAGAAATGTGTTCAGAATTAAATCCTTTTGATTTAAAAGTTCTTTTTATGAACTGACCATAATGTTAGGGGCAGTTTAAATCTGATGAACTACACAGACACATGTGGTTCTGTACATCAGGAAAACTTTAAAGAACAATCAATGAAAGTGCATTACAGCAAAAGTACAAAAAAGAAAAGGAAGTAAACTTTTGTAGGCATATAGCACCCTGTTATTCCAGTTTACGAAAAGAATAGTTCTGATATTCAAAAGTTACTGAATATTTGCTTTATGTTATCCCTCACTAAAAAATAAGCACTATAAGGTATTCCTAGTGTAGACTGAAAAAAATTATATGAAGTTCAAAATATTTAAATCCACTTGATTTAAAACATCAAAGTAATTTAGCAGATACAAGACATTTCATACAGAGACATGTCTATAGTTGCCTTCTTTTTGCATTCTATTTATACTACCTGAAAACTACCCCAAGGCTGGCATTTGCTATTAGGTGCCCTGTTCTAATGAACATAAAAAGATTTCTGGGAAAGTGGATCTGAAGGAAGTAAGATGGTGTAGGGAGGGGATGTGCACTAAGGAGAAAATTGTTTCTATTTTTAAAATAGTACTAATTCTATTGATAGTGAAAAGTCAATGGGGGAATACAAGGAAATGATTGTTTCAAAAGATTCATTCCCCTCTTCACCACCTCATTCTTAGCTAAACCCTTCCTTGCTGGGGCTCCTCCCTCTGGATAGGGACAAACATGCAAAAAGCCTGAGACTGAATTGATTCACTCTTCAGCAGCCCTCCCTCCCTTTCTCAGTGCTAAGCTGAGGGGGGCGTGGCCAGGCCCCATAGAATGCTCTCATTAGGGAAGGCTTCCCCCCTTGCTGTTGATAACAAAACATTTAGTTACATAGCAGGGAGTTGCACAGGGAGTTATGAGCATTTATCAGTCTGTCAAACAAAACAAAAGCTTTTCTCATTAGTTCAAGCTCTTCTTAAACAACTTTTTCCAAGGAAGGAAAGTAGGGACATTACCAGTTATCTGTTGATTAACTCCAAAAAGCCCTAAGCTGACACTGTGCTGTCTGCCTTTGTCATGTCTCCCACACCACAGACCATAGCCAGCAGAGACCAGAGCCCTGCCCATCAAAGCATCTGGGATGCTGGGGGACACTTGTTTAATTTAAAACAGGAAGGGGTCTGGGACAGACGCTGCATAAACCAGTTTGACCCAAATCAGTTCAGTCTGATACTACATTCAACCAAGATTATCTCAAACCGATTTCAGCCATTTTGAAACTGGTTTATGTGCACTGAACATCTGTTCTGTTACAGGTTTAAACCAGTTTCTGATCACTTAAATTGGTTTGTGTGTAATGTCTGTCCCTAACCTCTAACATAATGGATTGGATATGATTTCTTCCAGAACCCAGCAAATGACTGAGTTCGTGCTCTAAACAAACAGTAGATATGCCTCTGTGTCAACTCAAAGCTGTGTGTGCTGTTTCCACAGGGCAATATTCTGCTGACTTGGGGTAGGAGAGGCAACTTGATTGTTTTAATTATTCAAAGTATGGCTTGTACCTTGAATTGAGTGTCTTCAGTTGGGAATAAATTAGAATTTTTCCAGTGAACGGGGTTTTTAAAATGTTACTCTAGCATACATTTTCTTATGACCACATTACTTTGATGTGATTTCAACATAATAACATGTAACTGTAATAATTAAACTTTTTTTCAGGCTAATTAGCCCCAAAAGCTTTTCTTTTACACAACACATTTCATGATAGTCTGAGTTATAAATCATTGCTTTAGCTGAAACTTGCTGCTTTCCACGCTGGTGCGTCTAGCAGGTCTAATCAGAAAGATGAATTATTTCAATACTGAAAAAGCTTTTCCATCATCAGGATTGGCAGTTACCATTCGGACCAATCAAACTGCAAATAAAAGGAGATACAACACTATAAAAGTTTTTCCTGCTTTCTTAAATGATAAAAAGGCAATTAATGAAACATCAGAATTGTCAGTCTTTTGTAATGAGCAGCATGTTGGAACTGGCAATATGAAACTGAGATCCCTTCTAGTTGTTACAGGCATTGTGCAATTAACCGGTTAATTGTGCAGTTACCTTAAGACCAACTGCACGTACAAAGTTGCTATCATGCTGTAAAAAGCTCCAAACAGCTATAAAGTTGGACCTAAAAAATGTGTAATAACTTTATAGCTAGTTGCTATTGACCTTCAATTTGCACATGTAGCAGAGTCCCCTCTGTGGTTGGGAGCCCTACAGGGGTACACCATGCCTAGCATGAAACCCCTGGGCTCAGGGGATCATGGCTGCCATATCCCCCAGGCTCAGGGGTTTATTAAAAACTGAGGGATCAGAGCAGCCACACTGAAGTTAAGGGGAGTCTGAGAAATAATGGTACAACTGATCAAAATGCTTATGAAAGGTATTGTACCCTCAAGGAATGATACATTAATATTACTGCTCTGAACTCACATATTTATCTTCAACAAACTGTAAAACTGCATTGAAAAATTAACTGAATATTCAGGATTAGATGCTTTTATTTAAACAGATACTTGTCTTAGAGAAATTAATTCCCCTGCTAGAGATGAGCCCAAAAACCTGGCGACCCATGAAACACAATTGTTAATGAATTACAATGACAAACCAAATGTTGTAGCTAATGACTTTCTGTATCCAGAAAAGGATCAAGTCCACATTCAGTGCGGGCTTATTTCCAACATTTTGGAGTGTGTGATATCAAGACATACTTAGGAGTGTTCATGCACATAAATGTGAAGTGGAGTAAGTGTCTTTTGATCCATCTCTGTAGCCATTATAAAATCATTCACAAATATTTTTTCCCCTTTTGATTGTGTGAAAGTGTCTTATACACTTGAAACTTTTGTAGGTTGTTACAAATGTAATTGTACATCTGTAGCCACCAAATCAATTTTTGCGGTGCCACTGAGTTTACAAATGCCAGTGAATAACTCCTCATTACATTAGATATATCAAAAGATCCTCTATTTTCTCATTACCAAGCCTCAGCAGTGCATACAGCAGACAAATTAGCAGTGTAAATCATGCTTTATTCCTAGCAACTGCATAATTGGCTTGTGTGCATGGTTCCATCAATTACTTACAGTAAATGCTTTTCTTTGCAGTAAACAAGTTGTAAATGGATCATTACATCTTAAATTTATTATTTGGACAGCCATGGCAGTAATTAGTGTGGCAATGACTTGTATGCCTGTTTCCTTTAATATTCTTATGAAGTGATAATGATTAAGGACACAGCACATTTTTTGGAGGGGGGGGCATTTGCTCTTTTCTTTACATGTATGGTGCTGTTCCTTATTTATTTGGAAGAAGTGTTGGATGCTTTGGTCCATTTTAACCTGGCCCCTTTCCTCAGATGATTAGTCTCAAAAGATTCCTTTGCTGCTTATGCAGTGTAATGCAGCACAAGGATTAATGTCAGCAGTTGTAGTTGGTTTTTAATTATTTATATGCCAACTGTAGTCAATAGCTAGCGCACATAATTTAACATGGTGCTGTTTTTAGAATATCCTACAATCTGAAAGCAAACACAAGCCACTCCTCCACTCCAGCCCACCCCCCAGATAAATCAATAGAAAGGCAAGATACCTGGAAGCAAGTAATATATGTGATAATACAGAAAACATGTAGAGCTCAATATACAGCTACCTATATCCTGAAACTACGGATTTGCAGTTCTATGCAGATAGGTAACTGTTTGTTACTAGTAGTTAGCTGTTGAGTTTGTAAGGGTAGGGATCAGCATTAATACTATTCTGTATTGTATTAGGACAGCCTCCAATATGACCCTTCAACTTGCAGCAGTGGCAGATTGAGGCTCCCAGCCATAGGGGTGCAGCTGGAGTCAAAGGCTCCACTGCACCCCCACAGCTGTGAGCTCTGTTAGCGGTTCCAGGCTCCCAGGCACAGAGGTGCACCAATCTCCCCTGTGGCTGGGAGCCCCATCAGCTGATCTGGGCTCCCAGCCCTGGTGGGCATGGTGCATCTCTGTATCTGGGAGCTTGGATCAACTGATGGGGCTCCCAGCAATGGGGGCCACAGTACACACCTGTGGTTGGGAGCTCCACCAGCTGTTGGGGCTCCCAGCTGCAGGAGCTTCCTACTTGCCAGTGCAGGGGGGAGACATTCCT